AGATAAAAACATAAACAAAATAGAAAAATATTGAAAATATCCGAAAAGCAAAGTCTGTGAATTCAGACCTTGTGTATATAATAAAACAGTTATTCCACTCACTCTCGTCGAATATGAGCGATAGCCGATGAGGCGCGTAGCGTCTCATCGGCTATCAGCTCATATTCGACTCGAGTTCGTAGAATAACTGTTAATTATATGATATGCAGTACAATGCGATGCTGTTTACGTTCCAACCATTTTCGTTCACAGAAGCCAAAAATGAGCAAGATATTAAGGTTTTGGGCACCTTTTTCAAAAATTCAAAAAGTCACCAAATGGTCAAAATGCCTAATTTTTACCAATTTTAACCACTCTATCAAACATTCAAAAAGTGGCCAAAATATGTGAAAACGTATAGCCTATTAACGTTTAATCGATAAAATGTAAGTTTATACATGATATTTTCACAAACCAAAATATATATCGCAAATGTTTGCAAACCATACAAACACTTTATAAGCCAAATGTTTGTTTGTGATACATTAGATGTTCTCAGTAAGTTGGATGCAGAGAGAGAAAATAACATAAAATCAAATCAGGAGCATGATTGGACATACCCTATACAACATCCAAATGAATACAACCCAACTTCTCCCAAATTTGAATACAACGTTCCAGATAAAAACCTGTATAAACCTGATTCAAACAAGTATAAACCGGTTCCAAAATTCCAATATCCCCACGAATACAACCCGACTTCTTCAAATATTAATAACAATATCCCGGATACAAACCTGTATAAACCTGATTCGAATCGGCATAATCAAGTTCCAACCTTTGAATACCCCAATCAATACAACCCTTCTGCTCCAAGCAATCCAGATACTAACCAGTATAAACCTGATTCAAACCAGCATAACCTGGTTCCACAGATTCAATACCCCAATGAATACAATCCAACTCATCCAACACCTAAGATTCCGAAAACTAATCCAAATATTTGGGGTGGAACACGTAAACGTCCAAATTCCAGACGTCCAAGACCTTATCGACGACCAAGACCTTATCGACAACCATCACGCATTCGTCGGCCCCGACCATGCAAACCAAGCATATGGGGATACTATTATGGCAGTTATGGTAAGTTACATTAGGTTGTTATGAAGTAATGTTACTAATAGTGAAATTTATGCCTAACAGTCATTGTGCATTACGTCGCAAACATGTAAGAATATTATATAACTGGGTAGCATGGAGATCAGTCGCATTTTCAAAACGATGTAAAGAAGATAAAACATAAATTCCGCTCGCTTGATTCTTACAGAATGGCAATACTTATTCTGACTACCTGTTATGTAGAACACTGTGTTGTATTTAATTCGCGCAAAGTAATTTCGCAACAGTCTTGTTTGATCTCGAATCCATAAGATCAGGTAACGCGAAAGAGAATTCGTTTAATAGTAAAATTAAAATTCATGTTAGCCTTGTAATTCGGTTAATAGTAAAATTAAAATTCATGTTAGCCTTGTAATTACTCTTTTCGCGTTCCTTGTTTCGAATAATTTGTATTACGCACACGTTGTTAGGGCTGATACATTTATTTGATAAATCCGTTTTTGCACAATTTTATTTCAAACTTAAGTGAGTGCCCATACCTTCATGTGATCTTTATTCGTTAAGGCTTCTTCGCATGTCTTATAGGTAATAGAAGACGGTGCAAATTTCCAAGACCAACAACAAATCCAACAGACACTACTACAATCACAATAAAAGTAACCCCGCTTTCAACTGCAGAAAGTATCACACCTTCAGCTTCACAAAATACCATACCTTCAACTACAGAAAGTACCACACCTTCAACTACAGAAAGAACCACACATTCAACCACAGAAAGTACCACACCTTCAACTACAGAGTATGAAAGTACAACACCTTCAACTACAGAATTTAAAAGTACAACACTTTCAACCACGGAACGTACAACATTTTCAACTACAGAGAGAACCACACCATCAACAACAGAAAATACCATACATTCAACAACAGAAAGTACCACATCTTCAACTACAGAGTATGAAAGTACAACACCTTCAACTACAGAATTTAAAAGTACAACACTTTCAACCACGGAACGTACAACATTTTCAACTACAGAGAGAACCACACCATCAACAACAGAAAATACCATACATTCAACAACAGAAAGTACCACATCTTCAACTACAGAGTATGAAAGTACAACACCTTCAACTACAGAATTTAAAAGTACAACACCTTCAACCACGGAACGTACAACACCTTCAACTACAGAAAGAACTACACCTTCAATAACAGAAAATACCGCACATTCAACAACAGAAAGTACCACACCTTCAACTACAGAAAAAAACACATCTTCAACAACGGAAAGCACCACACCTTTAACAACAGAGTATGAAAGTACAACACCTTCAACTACAGAATTCGAAAGTACAACACCTTCAACTACAAAACGTGCAACACATTCAACAACAGAAAGTACAACACTTTCCTCTACAGAAAATACCACACATTCAACGACAGAAAGTACCACACCTTCAGCTGCACAAAGTACCTCAACTACAGAAAGTATCACACCGTTAACTACAGAACGTACAACACCTTCAATTTCAAAAAGTACTACAGAGCGAACGGAGCAATATACAACCATACCCCTAACTGGCAGTACCACCATTCGTACAGAGAGAACAAAACCAACAAAACAGAGTACAACGAGAGTACAATTTACCACGACTACTGAGATGACAGAACCATTCACAACCATACCTGTAACTGCAAAACCAAACAGTACCATAACTACGGAAAAAACCACCGCCTCTACAGAGATGACAGAACCATACACAACCATACCGGTGACAACAAAACCAAGCACTACCATTGCTACAGAAACAACCACTCTTTCTGGAATAACCACACCAACCGAACAGAGCACCACAAGAGCAAAATTTACCACAACCACAGAAATGACAGAACCATTCACAACCATTCCCTTCACCACAAAAGCAAGCAGTACCGTCCCTACGGAAAAAGCCACCACTCCTACAGAGATGACAGAACCATACACAACCATACCTGTGACTACAAAACCAAGCACTACCATTGCTACAGAAACAACAGCCACTCATTCTAGAAGAACCACGCCGACAGAACAGGAACCATTCACAACCATTCCTTTTACCACAAAACCAAGCAGTACAATATCTAACGAAAAAACCACCACTCCTACAGAAAATACAACAACAGCTAAACAGAGTACAGCTACAACCCAAGCTTTAACAAATAAGGAGCCAACAGAACCGCATACCACACTACCTGTGACTACAGAACCGAGTAGTACCATATCTACTAAAAGAACCACCACTCCTGCAACAAATACAACAACAGCCAAGCAAAGTAATGCTACACCTCAAGCTTTCACCACTAAAAAAGTAACAGAACCGCATACCACACTTCCTGTCACTACAAAACCTAGCAGTACCGTTGGTACAGAAAAAACAACCAGCCCTACAATAAAAACAAATCTAACCAAAGAAAATACCACTACAAACCCATTTTTCACCACTAAAGAGAAGACAGAACCACGCACAACCGTACCTAGCACTTCACAATTAAACATCACTGAGCAGTCATCCCAAGAAAACACAACACCCAAACCATGTAAGCAAATGTATTGCACGATTATTCTTTTTAGTATTTTATATGATTTCCAATTCACCCGAACCAAATCCTCATTATACATTTTCTCAGCAAATAGGGCCTAAGGAATTGTTTTTGATATGGGAAGAAAACTGCAATACCAGGAGAAAAAGTGTCAGAGCACAAGCACAAGGACTTAATTGTTACCCAACCTAAGTTAGTCCACTATTCTCAGGTCTCAGTACGTAGCAGGTTTATCTCCTTGCGAAGGACAAAAACAATTTTGCGTGCTTTATATGACAGTTATATAGAAAAAAGTTTAATTAATTTATTTTTCCATCTATCTATTTGACACTGTGGCCTACGCTTGATTATAACGTTGCTACCTCACTTCGTATACTTGAAATAAATAACATGTCTAGTTAAACTATATTGTCCAGGTTTATGAAAGCATAGAATATAATAAAGGTAACTAATCCAGTCAAACGAGAACAAGAGTTGCATGAGATTTGAAAACCCTTATCAACTCTCATTACGAAAACGAAACGAAACCCCTTATCAACTCTCATTAAAGTCAGTGAGAGTTGATTAGAGTACATAAATGTCCATCAGAGGCTGAGGTCAAACGCGAACGATAGTTGTAACACTCATAAACTCTGATCTTTGCTTAACTGGGGTTTAAAGGCACAGTTCAGCCTTTTGACTGATGGTTTTTAAGGCGCATTTCAGCCCTTTTAATTATTTGAAAAAACTAACTAGGAAAATCAATTAAGCATAATTCAAGATCACCAAACTTAATGTCTTTGACATTTTAAAACATTTATATTGTTATTAATAAAAACATTGAGTTTACTGATCTTGAATTATGCTTAATTGATTTTCCTAGTTAGTATTTTCAATTAAAAGGGCAGAAATGCGCCTTAAAAACCATCATTGCAAAGGCTAAACTGTGCCTTTAACATGGATATCTTATGTACACTAGAGAGTGCATCTAATTATTCTGCCATTCAAAAATTGAAGCCTAATTGCAGAGTCAGGATGCTCCCATGAAATGAGAAGATTAGTATGTTTTCAATTTCTAAACAGGGAACTTAAACATTAAGTTAAACCTATTCCGAATACATTTTAAACTATTCAAATGATGAAATACTCTGCGAGCAAAGTCCTCTCCTATTTCTTCTCGGCATGGCACGGAGAAGCGAGAGAGACTTTGCAGAACTTGTGTATATTCTTTGTCGAGCAGACAATCCAAAAACTTGGATAATTTTGCGTAATTTCAGGTTGATACCGGTTTTATAACCGGTTTTGATCCGAACCGGAAACTACTTATTAAATCTTCTTCTGGGAAATAGGCAGTTGCTTAGCAACCCAATAGCGCATGCTCAAATGAATTTATTCCCAAGTTCTGTAGAGTCTCTCTCGCTTCTCTGTGCCGTGCCGAGAAGAAATACGAGAGGACTTTGCTCGCAGGGTAATGATGAAAGTTATTGTGTTTTTTAAGCGTTTATAGCGAGTGGGAACTAGCAAAATGGCCGCCATCTATTCAAATGGGGATAACCGCTGGAATATTCTCGGCTTCAATTTTACTAAAAGTGGTGCGTTATCTAGTGTATATAAGATATCTATGGCCTTTAAGCGTTAGAATAATGTTTGCACAATTTCGAAGTATTTTGATGGTTGGTTCCCTTTTTTTATCATATTCTTCTGTAAACTAGATGTGTGAGTTGTCCATAGTTGTGAATTGGATAACGACAAGTAGTAGCGGTTACAAAACTATATGTAAAATGACCAAAATTAACCAAATATCAACTGTATTGCTTTTAGTATGTCGAGAAGGGGAAACGCTGTTGGACAAATGCGAACAAGTTTGCATTTGCCGTGGCGGGCGACTTCAGGAATGTATCCGAATCCGCAGAGAATTTCTACATATGCCCAAAAAAGATAGAGAACGCTATTTAACGGTGGTTCGACTCGTATCTACAACACAGCCGTTCAAAGGTCGATATGAGGCATTACTTCAGACTCACCGACAGCTGCGGAGTTCAGGTAAGGAATTGAGAGAAAAGAAAATCAAAGCAATTAAAGCAAAGGGCCAAAGTATAAAAATGGTCATGCAACGCAGAACAGAGCATAGAGCAAAGCAAAGTAAACGCAGTAAAATAAAGTAAAAGAAGAATTGATTAAACAAACTAAACCAAAGTAAAGCAAAGAAAATAAGAAATGCAAATAACACTGCAAAAACTGATGTGTATAAATTCACACAAGTTTTTGTTTAAAATATTAATATTTTACGCAATTATTTGTGTGCACGCAACACAAAAATAGCGGTAAATTTTTAACTTAAATTATTGTGTTAATTTAACACAAAGTATCAATTACACAATTTATTATTAGCATGGCAAAATTACTGGATGCTGTCCCAAAGCAAACAAAATGGCGGAAAGGTGTTTCAAACACAAATGTAAAATGAAATTGCCCTAGAGGAACTAGATGAAAATACGAACAAAAGCACCAAAATTTTGCTTTAACAAAAGAACTAAATGAAAATACGAACAAAAGCACCAAAGTTTGGTTGAACGTCTGGCAGGACTGGGCTTTAGCGAGAGAATATGATGTTGACAATGAGAAGTATCAAATTTTGTCATGTTAATTTAATAATAAATAAGTAATTCGGCGGCTCGTCCAATTTTGGCAAAATTTCCAAACATCACTCGTACTATTAAATAAATCCTTAATTGTACTCGCCATCGCATGGTTGCCTATACATATTGTGTAAGATTTTACTCAAGAGTTTGAGTAAGTGGACACATAGATTATGTCAATTTTTACTCAAATGAGACGAGTTGTTTCTACTCACAATATCACGTAAACAAACATGTACAGAATGCCTAATTTTACTCAACAATTTGAATAAACACTCAGCTTTTACACAAAACCATATGTTAGCTAGACACAATTATTACACAAAATTTGTGTACAACAACATAGAATGTTCTTACTCAGGTTTTTGTGTTTATCAGAACACAGCCGGAATGTGCTCACATTATATTCATGTTACACAATGGCTGACAAAAATATGAAAGATTGGAAAAGATCGGTGCATAAAATAGCATGAATGTAAAAACAAAGTAACAGCTAGGTTTTCGCCGAAATACATGACATCTTCAAATCGATATTGACATCTTAAAATCGATGTGAACACGAATAGATTAAGGCGAATTTCTTCTTGAGGGCTAAAATAAAACAATTTATTATATAGATACCGAGTATCTCGAATGGATTTATAGCCTGCGCGCAGATTATATATAATGACATATATAGTCTGAGAATCCGTGGCATGAAGCGTGTATGGTCACGTGAATTTCCCGAGAAAAGTTGGGACGAATTGTGATTGGTTGAACTATAATAATGCAAAATTAATGTTAATTCATCGGACATATGCATTGCGTTCGCAAAGCGCGTTGGGCTGTTCAAAATTGAACGTTTCCAGGGTCAAATGACAATGTTTATAAGGGGCGAGATTACAGTTGTATTTATAGAAGTGTGGCGGAACAAGAGAGGCCGTTGTTTTCAAAACGGACGGCCCATTTCGCCAAACAGAAGATGTAATATTATAGACGAAATCAAATTTAAGGGAGGCAGGAGTTTTGTTGATATAGCGAATAAGTTTGAAGTTATAAATTATAAATTATAAATTATAAATTATAAATTATAAATTATAAATTATAAATTGTAGATTGTAGATTGTAGATTGTAGATTGTAGATTGTAGATTGTAGATTGTAGATTGTAGATTGTAGATTGTTGTAGATTGTTGTAGATTGTTGTAGATTGTTGTAGATTGTTGTAGATTGTTGTAGATTGTTGTAGATTGTTGTAGATTGTTGTAGATTGTTGTAGATTGTTGGACATTGTAGATTGTTGTAGATTGTAGATTGTTGTATAGATTAGTGTAGATTGTTGTAGATTGTAGATTGTTGTAGATTGTTGTAGATTGTAGATTGTTGTAGACTGTTGTAGATTGTAGATTGTTGTAGATTGTAGATTGTAGTAGATTATAGATTGTTGTAGATTGTAGATTGTTGTAGATTGTAGATTGTTGTAGATTGTTGTAGATTGTTGTAGATTGCAGATTGTTGTAGATTGTTGTAGATTGTAGATTGTTCTAGATTGTAGATTGTTGTAGATTGTTGTAGATTGTTGTAGATTGTTGTAGATTGTAGATCAGTAGATTGTAGATTGTAGATTGTAGATTGTAGATTGTAGATTGTAGATTGTAGATTGTAGATTGTAGATTGTAGATTGTAGATTGTAGATTGTAGATTGTAGATTAAAGATTATAGATTATAGATTATAAGTCTCGAATGGTTGTAAAATCTCGAATAGCTGTAAAATCTCGAATAGCTGTAAAATCTCGTATACTTTTGGCCGAAACGACGCGCCAAAATGTGGCAAAATCCCGAAAATATCATAATATAAATACTATTTAAGTGACCTTTATTGAACGATCACCTCTATTAAGTGGATGCGGTCACCTTAGGTCACTTAAATCGAGACTTAAATGGTATTATACTAGGTTACCTTAGAGGTAGTGGATGCTGCCTTCTGTCAGATTGCGGCAGAGCCCCCAAATGTCACCACAGTCACTTTTTGTAGGGCTATTCCACCTCAAATAATGTTTACACTTTTTGAGTTGTTTTTTTCTTATTACATGACAGTACGGTCATAATTTGTGAATGAACTTCATGTAAATATTAAAAATGGAAAAACTTAAAACGAGGATACCACGTTAATACGCTCTTTCGACGAAACAAGCACAATTATTAAGTACTAGTTAAAACATGAGCAGCCGATCTAAATTCATGTAAGCAAATTATACTCACCGCTTAGCCAAAAAAACATATATAAAAAATCATTATTATACTCACCGCTTAGCCAAAAAAAAATTATGTATTTCATATCGAGAAAAAACTTGAATATCTTCTAAACTCTTCAGAATTTGCTTAGAGTCAATGTGAGTAAAATACTCTTTGTATTCGAGCGCTTTCATGCAAAAATTTTCGTTTGAACACGGCAAGTAAAAAAAATTATTTTGAATTTTTCAAAACATCAGGTTTTTACTCGCACGCACGCGCCCGTGTATGCTTGGCTATATAAAGACTATAAAGAGAATCGAATAGCAACTGTGAGTATTTTGACCTGCAGAATCGATATCCGGTTTATCCAGTCCCCTAGGATGTAAACAGCGCTTTGTTTTGATCACGGGCAGCGCCAAAAATTTAAATATTCTGTAAATACCGAAATAAAAGAAGAAAATCTGAAGACAGAAGCTTGAAAATAACACTCTGCGACACTCTAAATAGTGTTTTGGATTTTGGTTCGAATAAGACTATTACGAAAAAGATATGTCCAAAAGGGGCCGAAGTTATGTTCGGCGAAATGTATGGCTTTGGCTAGTTTACATTGTTCGAATATAAGAAATATGATACCGCTTGACCTCTCAAAGGTCATAAATAGCTATAAATATTGTGGACATTTGACTAAAACTATCGTTTAGTGCGGGAATTAGGAGATTTTGTTTCATTCAATCGAACGGTAGTATTTTTGCTTTCATAGCTTACACCGAACCGAAAATATGAATCTTCCAAAGTCATAGAATTGAGAGATATCAGATAAAGTTGATTCACGCATAGCATTGTGGGTCTATCTAACATTTTACCACAATGCAATGCGCTAAGGCAAAATTTAAAAAATTCCCAACTACATCAATTAGGTCAGCTGCCTTGCTCGCTCGCTGAAGGCTCGCTCGCTGCCAGAGGCGCCGGAATATCGATAATTGGGGGGGGGGGGGCAGATATTCATATATTCGTGTTCTGCCCAATTAATTTCTTTTGAAATAGATTGTTTTTACAGTCTGTGAAAACGAATATATGAATATCTGCCCCGCTAGTATCGATTCTCCTGCGCCTCTGATCGCTTCGGCAGCAATTATGAAATTTTAGGGACTTTGCTACATGACCGCGTAACAAAGGGTGACCGCTTAATACGGTACTGTATGGCGCGCCGTTCCGGCCAAAAGTATTCGAGATTTTACAGCTATTCGAGATTTTAAAGCTGTTCGAGATTTTACAACCATTCGAGACTTCAAATTTATTCGCTATATACTTTATACTTTATACTTTATTTAGAAATGGTAAATACATTGCAGCCATGAGCTGAATTGCGTATTATACTTACAATTAAAAATTATTAAAAATTAGAGTTTGAAATATATCAAAGTATCATAATTAATTAACTAAATTGTCAAAAGTGTCTGTTTATAATAAGCATGCAAAAGTTATTAAGAATATAAAATAGGTAAATGAAGAGTAAAACCTATTCAGTTTTGCTACTCGATGCCATAATAAAACTATTACTAAACCGATTGGTTTTACAAACTGGAACGTCAAAAGATCTAATAGATCTCAGGTCGTGGATGGAGTTATGCCTTGGCGGCAAGAGGTAATGTAGACTGTGATTAGAATCTTTGATAATTGCATTAAACAATTTCTTGCAGCCGTTTTGATGGTGAGTGGAAAGATGTTCAATTCCACTGAGATTTAAAGCTTCCTCATATTTCAAATGGGGATAAATAATTCCAAATACGCGTTTCTGGACTCGTTCCAAATCTTGACTTAAATACTTGGGTAGGCTGTAGTGGAAAACCGGGACAGCATAGTCCAACACAGATCTTATACAGGTTATGTAAAATGTGATTAGTTCTTGTATTGGGATTTTTGCTCTCTTAAGTTGAATAAGGAAATATATCCTTTTGGAGGCTTTCTTGACTAATTCAGTGATATGTTTATTCCACGTAAGGTTGTTGCTAATGTTAAGACCAATCACTTTAAAATCGGATACAACTTCTATGATTTGATTCTCAATTGAAATTGGGTTAAGCTCGGGTTGATTCCGTGCAAAAGAAATTCGTATCTCCTTACATTTATCAGCATTTAATTGCATTCTATTGATATTGGACCAATCTAAAATTTCATTTGCAATCAGTTGAGCTTCACTGTGCTCGCCTTGCAATACGACTTCCGACGCCGTGGTATCGTCAACGTATTTCCATAAGTTCTCACTATGTTTCTTCAAATCATAAATCATTATTAAGAAGAGCCAAGGGCCTAATTTGGTTCCTTGAGGAACACCAGCCGGTACTTGGCTCCATTCAGAAAGGCAACTATTTGACAGCTTAACCCTTTGATATCTATCCGATAAAAAGTCGATAATCCAGTTGATGATACTAGTTGGTAAATCTAAAGCACCTAACTTGATCCTTAGGATACTATGATCGATGAAATCGAATGCCTTTTTATAGTCAAATAGAAACACTCGGATAGTTGGTCCTGTTCCGTCCAGCATTGAGGTCCAGTGATGTAACATGTCTATTAAAGCAAAAGTGGTTGAAGAATTAGGAATAGAACCAAATTGATTTGAGTCGATGGATTTCAGAACCGCAGGTTTGATATATCTATTTACCACACATTCTTCAGCTACTTTGGATATGCTCGGGGTCAGTGAGATAGGTCTGAGATCTTTTTCTAAGATTTGAACTGTCTTAGATTTAGGTATAGGTAAAACATTGGCTAGTTTCCACATCGATGGAAGTCGTTGTTGCTTGAAGGAAGCATTTAAGATGGTACTAATTAATTGGGAACGCTAATATAGCTGCATAATCACGAAGAAGCCAATTTGATATTTCATCAGGACCACAAGTTTTTGTAGGGTTCAGCTTTGATAAATATGAATACACTGTTTCTTCAGTGACTACTAAAAACTCAGGGTTGTTAACTTCTAGCTCGAAAGGAAGAAGGGGGCTGGGCAGTTTATATACAGATAAGGGATCCAAGAAAGCTTCATTGATCTTGTTAGCTAATTCTTGCTCAGATAATTGTTCGAGGTTTTCAATATCTATTATATTTCTAATATCACTAGATCTAGTAGATGCCATTCCACTTAAACGCTTTACTTCTTTCCACCATTCCTTGGAGTCTGTTTGTTTCATTTGATGTACACGGAGTTTATAATAGTTTGATTTACAGATTTTCCTTTCTCGATTTACTTGGTTTCGAAGAGATTTAAAACTGCTCGAGTCAGGGCCATAGGTAGAAAAAGCTTTCTGCCTTTCAATGATCAGCGATTTGAAATGGTTCGTTATCCAGGGGGCATCGACAGGACATTTCTTTGATCGTGTCATCGGCATTAAAATATTAACCCCAGTAAGGACTATGCTTTGAAACATGTTCGATAACTGATCACAATCATTAGTAGATGGAATAATTTGAGGCCAATCAATCGAGTTTAGATATCTTCCCAGGGCTCGTTTGGAACTTGGATTAATATTACATCAATTTGATCGAGGAAAGTAAAGGTGACTCCAAGAAGCTATGGAATGCTGTTAACGAAGCATCTTCTAGGAAATGTCAATCGTCCAACCCAACTTGCATTATCTCGGATGGAGTTGAATATACAAACAATAAATCGATTGCTTCTATTTTGAACAAACATTTCGCTACTATAGGTCAATATCTTGCCGAGAAGCTACCCGCTATAACACCAAGTTATGCATCAAGTTACTATCTATCTAATGGTCAACATTATAATATCCTTCCCGTTGATGAATCTTTCGTTATTAAACATCTAAAATCTCTCAAAGCTTCGAAAGCAACTGGTTTGGACAAGATAAATATAAAGCTACTTAAAGATGCATCAGAAATAATTGCTCCTTCGATTACAAAGCTCATAAATCGATCCATTCAAAATCATACATTCCCTTCAAGTTGGAAATGTTCGAAGGTATTTCCTTTGTACAAATCTGGGGACAGAGCGAACGCAACTAATTACCGTCCAATATCAGTTCTACCTGCATTGAGCAAGTTAATGGAAAAAGCTGTTTATACTCAACTTTATGATTATTTAACAGAACATAACATTCTCAATGATAATCAGTTTGGTTTTCGCCGAAAGTGTTCCACAACAACAGCACTCTCGAGTTTTGCTGACGAGATTCTGGCCAGTATGGAAAAGGGAGAAGTGTGCGGTGCCGTGTTTTTGGACCTGTCCAAGGCCTTCGACACGGTCGATCACGCTGTTATGCTGAAGAAATTATCTGCCATTGGTGTTTCTACTGAAGATATAGCATGGTTTGCTTCCTATCTAAGTTTTCGATCGCTTCGAACTACTTGCGGTCCTGAGCTGTCTGAACCATTACGCTGTAACTTTGGTGTCCCACAGGGCAGTATTCTTGGCCCTTTACTCTTTTTGATTTATATCAACGAGATACCAAGTTTCATTAAACATGCACAATTATCTCTTTACGCAGACGATACTGTCCTGTATTACTTTTCTAACACTTCGCAGGATCTGGAGGAGAAACTAAATGCCGACCTGCGTAATGTTTGTGTTTGGCTTAATGAGAATAAACTAACTTTGAATACAAAAAAGACCAAATTCATGATCATTGGGAGTAGCCGTAAACTTTCTAATATTGATTCCGTCACAGTCAAGGTAGCTGGCAGTAATATAGAAAGAGTCGAAGAATTCTCGTATCTTGGAATAACTTTTTCAACTAATATGACCTGGACTGAACATGTTAACCAACTCTGTTCAAAGATCAGCAAACGCCTGGGGCTCCTGAAGAGAATTAAGCATCTGCTACCGCGATACGCAAGACTACTTTTTTACAAGAGTCTTATTTTACCTCTGTTTGACTACGGCGACCTGGTATGGGGTGATAAGAACAATGACGTACTGATGGGCAATTTACAAATTCTCCAAAACAAAGCAGCAAAAATCATCCTTGACTATCACCCACTTTCTTCGTCTAGTGCTGCGCTGGATGAGTTGGGATGGAACAGGCTTCACCAACGTCGATTTTATCATAGATGTTTATTCATTTTTAAATGTTTGAATGGGCTATCTATGTCTAAGCTAATCTTGAAATCGCTAAGCGAACTTCATTCCTATAACACTAGAAATAAGAACAATTTATGCTTGCCTAAAGTTAAACGAAATTGGGGCAAACAAAGGCTCGAGTACCATGCAGTAAACGATTGGAACACTCTTGACGAAGAGACTAGACATTCAGACTCAATTGCTAAGTTCAAAATGAACTATTTTAAAACTCACTAGTGCTGAATTATAACACTCATAGCATGCTGACGTATACATACTCTTTGAATTCTATTTAGTTACTATTTTTATTGTTGTAGATAGCTCACAGCTCTTAGTCTTACTTGTAATTTAAACACTAGGCATACTTTTATTGATTTTTAACGTTAACCTCATTGTAATGTAATGTGATGGATTTGGTTTTTATGACTCATATTTTTATATGTATATTTTTAAATATAGGACCTCTCTGAAAATCACTTTACGTGAGAGAGTTTCCTATTTAAATATTGTCATAAATAAATAAATAAATTACAAATTTTACAACTGTATGTTATACAGATGGTACATTACTGCTATCAATATAAACTAAGAATCTGTTTGAAATGTAACACTGCTTGTAGTCTTGCTACTCCACTCTCTTGTTGTTCCTGATAGTTGTATTTATTCTCATAAATTAAGTTATGTTATTGTATATTTATACAGTATTTGTAAAATTGAGCGCACAGTAATTGGTTTTTATACTGTTGTGATGACACTGCCACTCTTTTATGTGATAAAGATATCATCAATTCATATCATATCTCAAAAATTAGGTGGGCACCCATTTATAGAAAATCATGAATAGAAACAAAAATCCTAAATCATGCCTACTAAAAACTTCAAATTCCTATCAACATAGCATGAGGGTTTTTTTACATTTTTTTTTTTTTTTTTAAGAATTTTAGATGATTCTTCAGTCTTACTTGTTTTAATGTACACTTTTGTAAGTTTTGAAACAAACAGACAACTTACAAAAGTGTACATAGCATGAGGTTGTTTCAGATAAATATATATTACAGAAAATCTATTTTTCCTATATTACAAATTTAGTTTAAGTATGTTTTTGTCATTGAGCAAGGATTGGGAAATAATGCAAGAAATATTTAATGCTTGCATATTTTCTTTGCCTTGAATGGGTCGTTCCAGAATAGATCCATACTCCCCCCACAGAGGAAATTTCTGCCGTCCGGAGGGGGAGGGGACAAAAAATTGTTTCTGATAATAGTAAATGTATTAGGGCATCCGAAGGGGGTAGGGGGTTAACTTCCTATTTCCTCCGTGGGGAGGGGGGGGTATGGATGTTTTCTGGAATGACCCAATACTTCATTGTGCACAGAATGACGAAGACAAATTATGCTATATGTTAAAGAAAGCAATGTTGTCCCAAACGTTGTCTATTGACCTTGTTTACATACAATAAGTTCTATTTAAAGTAACACACCTGATTGGATAATAAAATTAGAAAGCCACTGAAGTGCACAATATTATATCTATTTATACGACTACATCACTGTGCAGCATTAGTGACAAATGGCCACAGACTGTTAAATATCTATTTATACGACTACGTCACTGTGCAGCATTAGTGACAAATGGCCACAGACTGTTAAATATCTATTCATACGACTACATCACTGTGCAGCATTAGTGACAAATGGCCACAGGCTGTTATCCTTCCACCACGAGGGGGAGAGGGGTATAGAAAATCATAAATAAAAACAATCCTAAATCATGCCTACTAAAAACTTATTCAACACTAACAACCCAACACAGCATGTAGTTGTATAAGAACTCTATTATTTTCTAGATCAAAAAATTTACAATCTATATATTATACATTACGTATTAGATATAAACTAGTTGGGGCATTTATAGAAAATCATAAAAGAAAATAAAACAAAAATCCTAAATCATGCCTACTAAAAACTTATTCAAATTCCTATAAACATAGCATGTAGTTGTAAGAAGCATGTTTCGTGATATATTTATGCCGCAATTTTTGCATGTTTTAAATTAAACATGCATCATTTTTACAGATTTCAGTCCGCCATATTTTTAGATTGTTACACTGCGCAATATTGTTTCCACTTAATTAAGGCAGCCTTACTTTGTTCCTATTCATAGGGAACCCCCATTTTATCACTATTATAAATATCCACTAACCTTACATCATCATCCTTCTTTAGTAATTTAAAGTTAGGCAATCGTACCAATTTATATAAGATATTTGCCCAAGATATCCCTCGTCATATTGCACATTTGCCCAAGATATCCACCAAGAAAATGCACACGGTGTAGGTTTGCCAGCGACACATCATCATCCATCCATTACAATGCCTGATGTCTCCTTGCAACAACCAGGACGAGCAGAAAAGAATGCATTCACTAAAATGACAAATGTTATAACATATTTAGCTTCAAAATCCCTATGCTTTATGCACTCATCTCTTTACTAAATTATTTAAACTAAATTTCACAAAACATTAATTTAAGGTATAATTCAATATTTTATCCCAGAACAAACATCAAACGCAAAGCAACTTGCAACGGCAAGATATAGAGCTGCAACTTGCCCTAAACTTGAATATAATTTACTCTCTGGGATGCCAATTTCTGTCTTAGCATAAAAATACAGACTTCTGATTGGTGTGGGTATTTACAAAAGAATCTCCCTGAATGGAGAATAGATTGAATGCAGCATACAAAATTATTATTCCAAATGTATAATTTCTATGCCATAAAGATTTATATTGGCAAATATAAAATGACCAAAACATTTGGGTCAAATGCAAAGGGGGACCACAGGCAAGAATCAAGGTCTAGCCAGCTGAGCCACAGATTAAGTGAAGACAGATGTATAACTTCAGTAAAAAAGTTGTCCCACAATAAGTTCTTTGTATGTTTGCATGGCGATAAAACATATAATAGTTTTGTTTGTGGAAACACCATGTACATTTATTACTGCCAAGCTTTCGATCTGTAAGCCCGGATCTTCATCAGTGCTAATAATATGTGAGTCAACAGATCAAGACATTTTTTGTATATAAAAAGGGCGTGTGAATTAAACAAGTCACATATTAGCACTGATGAAGATCCGGGCTTACGGATCGAAAGCTTTGCAGTAATAAATTTATGTGGGGTTTCCACAAACAAAACTATTATATAGTTGTCCCACAGTCGCCATCTTCCTAGCAAGTGTCGCTCGCATGATCATTTGTCATTTGATAATACGTCATTGCTTTCACAAAATGCTTTCAACACCTTTTCTACAAATGATGCTATAGATAAACAAGCATGTTTATAAACAAGCTGCAGGGAAAACAACCAGGAAATTTTCCAGAAAATTGGGCTAAATTTTCCAGAAAATTGGCTATTCCATTTAATATCCATAATCTCCCTTTTTAACTCCGGAATTCCTCATGGATAAACAAATTCTCCTGTGGAATTCTTCAGGGGTTGGTTATTTCAAATGCAATTCCTTTAGGGGTCAGATGTAAAAAATGTAATTCTTCAGGGGTAACAGGAATTCTTCAGGGGATCTCTTTTATGTCAGGAATTCTTCAGAGATATGGTAAAACCATTGTCCTTGATAGGGGGGTTACGTCTTTTAAATGGAATAGCCCAATTCAAAACAAGCCCCAAAATCTTGTAAAACTTTCTGAAAATTGTTGAGAAACATTTCTCTCGTCAAAACTATATTAAACTTTTGACGGATAAAAAACCACCATTGAAGGAAAATTCATTCTTGACATTTCTTGTATGATAGTGCTTATAAATAATTATTAATATCGAACTAATGATTATTAGTGATTATATTTATATTCCGGCGCAGTTAAATTAGGTTCACGCGTGAGTGAACTCTGCGTAATTCTGCGAAATATTGCTGGGGGGTGTTTTATTTTCTTATTAAACAAGATATCAAATTAATTGTAAAGAGCTGGTGAATATTGCCTTGTGGTTTTTATCCTTGTACTGTATCGTGGTAGAGAGTTATATTGGATTTTGTCTTTGCGGTGTCATAATTATTATTGTCACGCACTATAAACAGGAAATTTCAGTTTTGGCCATATATCTTGTCTTGTACTGGCTGGATTTTATTAAAAATTACTGTGTGGATTGTGATCTGTATTTGTGCTGTATTGCCAAAGTTTGGTACTCCCAAGTTACTTAATTTTTTAATTATTTGGATGTTATATATTTGTCCATTGGCATATTCCGACTAATTATTGCGTTGGAATTTATTTTTATCGTCAAGTTCGTTCGCGTATTTCCCGACTGTGGATCTTTGTTGCTGTAAACTATCGTTATATCTGTACTTACTTCATCTTTTGGAGCATTTTGATATGTATTTCGTCTAGTTATGTGGATTATTTCTGGAGTTATCTGTATTTTGGATTATATTTACTGTCATTACTTATAACACTTTTTACCTGTTATCGGATTTTATATTTTGCTTGTATCTTTGGTCATATCAACGTTACGTGGCTGAAACTTGGTGAATTAACAGATTTCCTAGTTATTTTCATCTCCAGCGAATTTCACGCTCATATCGTATATACAATTCAAACTGTTTCAATTTTATTGTTTTTCCAACGGTCATTTTGTCAGGCAACCTTCGCAGTGTTTGGGGATTTCCCGTATTATGTCACTTTGCATCTAAAATGCCACGACCTTTTGACCCTGGAAGTGATACATAAATTGCCGAAACATTAATCTGTAGGTTTTTCCAAAACTAATTTAATATGATTCAATCCTTGTTTGAAATTGGAACAGAATTTGACTTTGTTACTTGAGTTCAGCAACTTACTTTAAATACTTAACTTTCCTACTTATATCACTGTGAAGAAAGTATGGCAGTTGTGAAGATAAGTACTCTGTATTTTCTGCTTCTTCTTCTGACACTACGTTTAAAGTTCGATATAGATAACCGTTTCAATTATGACACCGATATCACTGTTTCACAATGTTATAAAGATAATTTCTTTGTCCAATGTGCTCAACTTCCTAAATTGAATCGGATCAAATGTAACAAGTACTTAGCTGCGTGAATAAGTCGATATCCGAATTCGGTTTCAACATTTCAACTAACAAGCTTGGTACTCAGCGGGGACATTTCTCCAAATCCTGGTCCTGATCACCACACTAAAACTACCAACGGTTTAAAGGCCTTATATTTGAATGCAACAAGTCTAAAAGCTTTTGCATCACTTGATGGTGGCTCTACTAAAGTATGTAAGATCACGCTACTTCAACATCTAGTTTTGAGTGGCTCCTATGATATCATATGCATATGCGAGACATGGCTAAATGGCTGTATATTGGACAGCGAAATATTATCTGGCTATAACATATTTCGCCGAGATAGAATTGACCGTGTTGGAGGTGGCATCTTAGTTGCAATAAAGGCTGATATTAAATCAACTCGACGTTTAGATCTTGAAAGGAAAAGTGTTGAACTTGTTGTAGTTGAACTTAGAAGACCGGACAGTCGATCATTTTTACTTTACATGTTTTACCGTCCTCCCGATTCTTTGCCTGAAGTTCTTCAGCACCTTATCGTTGCAAAGTATTCAAGAATCTGACTGTTGTGTTGTTGTTGGTGATTTCAATTTGCCCATGCTGGACTGGTCGAATGATCAAGCTGCGCCTGTTAATATCGGGGGAAACGCAAGTGGTAATGTGCTTTGTGAATTGGTTGGAGACAATTTTTTACATCAATTCATAGAAGGCAAGACACACGAAGCAGGTAATAAACTAGATTTACTGCTATGTAATTTTCCTGAGACCATTGAGAAAGTAACCACAACACCAGCTGACGAATGCGGTTTTCCATCAGATCATTATATCATAGATTTTATAATCAGACTTAAGTTTGAACGCACTAAGCCTATTAAACGCCAAGTCTTCAATTATTACCAGGCAGATTTTGAAAGCTTGCGCCACTCCTTGTCCCGCATCCCGTTTGAAAATATTTCCTCCTATGATAACATTGATGATCGTTGGTCTTGCTGGAAAACATTATTTATAACTGCAGTGAGTGAACATGTTCCTACCAAGTTTATCAAAGATATTAACACTCCGCCTTGGATAGATCAGGAAGTCCGCCATCTAATTAGAAAGAAATACTCGGCCTTAAAAAGACACAGAAAAAATAAATCTGATGCCCTCAAAAAAAAACTTCGGGATATTAGTCAAGCTGTTAAATGTCAAATTAAGAGAAAATATCGTGAATACCTAACCAAGATCGAGAAATCCTTAAATTCTAATCCCAAAACTTTCTGGAGTTATCATAAGGCTATGTTACATCAAAGAACAAACCATATTTCTGCGATCATTTACAACGGTGTTACAGCAACTAATCCAATTGAAAAAGCAGAACTACTCAATGCTTATTTTACCTCTGTGTTTTCCAAACCAACTGCAAACACGGATTATGCGAATTTTCTGAATTATCAGGAGTTTTGCTCAGAACTTGCTGAATTCCAATTGACTACGGACGAGGTCCTTGCTTATCTGAATTCTTTGGATACATCTAAAGCATGTGGCCCTGATGGGATACCAGCGCGTTTACTTAAAGAGTGCAGTTTCCAGATAGCACCCAGTTTGTGTGGTTTGTTTAACTATTCGTTACATATAGGACGTCTTCCATCAGAGTGGAAAGCAGCTGACATCACTCCAATACATAAAAAAGAATTAAGAGAACCAGCTGAAAATTATAGACCCATATCTCTTCTTCCAATTATAGCCAAAGTCTTGGAACGTTGTGTGAGTAAAAGGTTATATGATCACGTAATAAATGCTATTTCTCCACAACAACATGGTTTTGTAAGGAATCGTTCGTGCGTAACTCAACTCTTACAAGTGCTTCATTTAATCGGACAAAACCTAGACAAAAATATCCAAACAGACATACTATATTTAGATTTCGCCAAAGCCTTCGACTCCGTCGACCATAATTTGATAATTGAAAAGCTTAAGTTTTTGGGGGTTAAAGGGATGGTTCTCAATTGGTTTCGAGACTATCTTAATAATCGGACTCAAAGGGTTGTCATGGAAGGGGTATGCTCTGGCTGGACACATGTGACTTCTGGTGTGCCTCAGGGCAGCATACTGGGACCTTTGCTGTTTGTTATTTTCATAAACGATCTTCCAAATGCTGTGCCACAGACTACGAAAGTTGCGCTATATGCTGACGACACCAAATCATTCCGAGAAATAACTTCCGAAGGTGATTCTTGTGACTTACAACAAGCTCTAACTAATTTGTCGACCTGGAGTAGCAACAACAACATTTCTTTTAACGAGTCGAAATGCAAGACGATGACGGTTACTAGGAAGAAACAACCTATCCCCTTTATCTATCATCTTGACCTGTTTCCTATCATTAAAGTACAAGAAGAAAAAGATCTCGGTGTACTAATGACCAGTAGCCTATCATGGGATTCCCACATCCAAAGAATATCTGCGAAAGCTAATAGAATGCTCGGGCTACTGAAAAGAACCTGCCCTCTCTTGACTCAAGTGCATGTCAGGAGAACTCTGTATTTGGCCCTTGTCAAATCACAAGTATGCTACGCAAGTGAAGTCTGGTCTCCTCACCAAAGTAACCTGAAAATCAAATTAGAGCAAATACAAAGGCGTGCCACTAGATGGATCCTGAAAGTAAATGTGGGAGATGTTCCGTATCGAGACAGGTTATCTGTTCTAAATATGTTACCTTTATGTTACGATCGAGAAATAAGAGACTTGATGTTCTTCTATAAAGCTCTCCATGGATTTTACGACTTAAATGTGGAGGATTTTGTCTCCTTTGTCACTCATGGGCGAACACGTCTCAGTAGTAATTCCACCCTTGTTTTAAAAATACCATATTGTAAAACAACTACATTTCAGGCCTCATTTTTTAATCGAATTGTAAAGATATGGAACTCTATATGCAAAGTTGCCACATGTAGCAGCTTTACTAGTGTCACCACTTTTAAAACGTTCTTAATCAATCATTATAATGAACTTTTATTGAATGTTTTTGATGCAAATTTGACATGTACTTGGTCAGTTGTTAGAGACTGTGCTTGTCACAGGAGTTAAAGCACGTTTACGCATTACGACCGGTCGGGGTACCTCTTTTATGATTGATGCCACCAAATGACGTTTTATCTGGCTTACAAAAATTATTTTAACACAGGTCCTATCACTTTGGCCTGAATGTGTGTAAACGTGCTTTCAACGATTTTAAATTTTAAATTTTATGTAAATTTGTAAATGTCGACAGAAGTCAAATCGGGAGGTAGCCTCGCATGGGCTATTATGGCCCGTTCGCTATTTTCCCGTTTAGGAACTGCATGTTTGTTGTATTTGTACCTTATTAATGTAATATATTAAGTTCCTAATAAAGCTGTTAAAAAAAAAAAAAAAAA